TTTTCAAGAGAAATGCTTATGACTTTTCAGGGCTTTTATAGAATATTTAAACTAATCAAAAACATTATTTATTAACTTAGTCTGAAACGTAGATGCAACGCAGACGTAGAAATAAATCCATATATTCTCAAAGAGAAATAGCTCTGAACCAGCAAAATGCTCTATGTGATATTACTTGTTCATATGTTGCAGTATGTTTGCTTATACTTGTTGTGACACTTACTCTGTTATTACACTACACGCTTACCTAGAAGCCGTTAGTATAGTGAAGAAAGGCAGTAACAAGCGAAAGCATTGGCTTTGCAAGAGTATATTATCGAAAACTGGATGTAGGGAAGGCATCCTAATATGTTTGGAACCAAATTGAAAGATCACAAACTACCAGAGGTTAACACTAGTGTTACTTTGCGGCGATAACTACATAAAACTCATGTAAGATTGACGGATATTCTACAGGACGGGGCAAAAATCTGGGAGCCGACTTTGCAGTGTTGTAAATCACGAAACCACTAAACTACTGACTAAACTAATAACTTTGATTCCAAAATTGTTTAGCACCCGTGCTTGCCATATGTTTTATGAGCAAAATAGAAGAACCGGTGTTCAGAGTCCACTTATGTATTGCCGTCACATTGACGACTGTTGCGTAGTTACATCAACACAGTCCGAGACGGACGAATGCTTTAGAATACTAAGTCAACGGTTGCAATACATAAGTTTTCCACGAGAGAAACCTCGTGGCTACCGTTTTTGAATATACAATTGATGGTGATGAATGGAAGGCTGCGCATTGAATGGTATCGTAAAGAGAGTAATAAGAATAGTATCTTGCATGCGAAATCTGCGCACCCGATGGTTGTCAAACGTGCCGTTGTGCGCAATATGTACAAAACAGCGACATGCATATCTAACGGCAGAATTGAAAGGCTAGAATCACTAAAGATGACAGCCGAAATTGTGACCTTAAGTGGATATTGGGTGAGACTTAGACAATCGAAAAGGAATGGTAATGACAGGCAGACAAGGTATCAACAAAATACCCTTGTGCATGCCTTTCATATCCGAAAGGGTGACTGCTGCGATTAAACAATGCCTGATACAGGTACAGCTTGCCGATGATGTTGTTTTAGTAAATGTACCAAGAGACAACATCAAAAGGCAATTGCTCCGCAACAGGTTGTATGATAAAGCCTGTATCTCACGTGATTGCGTAGTCTGCCCGTTCGGAGAACTTGGAGATTGTAAGAAATCTGGCGTCATTTGTAAAATTGAATGCATGAAGTGCTCTGCCATTTATATAGGTGAAACCGGCCGACCGTTAGGTGTACGGGCCAACGAACATTTAGCCAGCAGAAAGAGGCAAATCATGGTAAGTCCACTAGGAAAGCATAGAATGGTAGAACATGGTGGTACCGATTACGAAGTCAGCTGCAAAATTTTAGCCTACAAACATCAAATTTCTGCGCGAAAGGCCTTAGAGGCAGCCTATATCCTTGCCCAAGACCCGGAACCAAACGGCAAGAATGAAAAATTGTCTATTACGATCGACATGCTACCGTATCTATCGTTTTGCGAACTATAAGACTGCTGTTAACTCGTATTTAAGCAGCACTGTGTCATCTCGGTTGCTCATTTGTCGCACTCCGTCACAACAATCGATTCATCTCGAGTGGCTACGAGCTAACGGTGATACGCTTGGTGGCTTGACACCTCCTCCCAAACTCTCTGTTTCCGCCTAGGACGAATCGAGTGGCAAATGGGAGGAGGTATTTGGCGGCTGAGAATGTATTATTGTATTATTGTGACTGACACCTTTTCAGCCTCTGAAGACGGCGTCGTACCGAAACGTCAGGCAATAAAATTGTGTCACCATTAAAACCTGTTACGGCATAGCAAAATAATTGCAAGTATCCATCCAAATTTGTGCCCATAATGTCCATTCGAACATCCTCTACAAACCACACTTTACCTAGAGGAAGATACTTGCCATATGTATTTATAAGAGGATTTTACCAAGCAAGTGCTTCTGAAGAACGAGAAAGTCAAAATGTTTAGTACTCACAAGTTATTTCGTAGCTAAAGATACTGCGAACATTCTACAACACTTCGATACATACAATGTATAAAAGGCTTGACGCTATCACATCGTAGTAGTTGCGTTTGCCAGAAACTATTCTTTCGAAAACGCAAAATAAAATATTACCGGCGTGTCAGTGATCATTTGTCTTCAAAACAAATTTGAAAGCTTTAAGAGCGGAGCGGGGACTGAATCACGACAGACAGATTTGCCAGCATTATGAAGGGCTGCTTTGAAGCCAAAGAGGCAATTTCAAAATTTGAAAGCTGCACTGTATTTATAAAGGTTCGGATCATGTGTGCACTCACCAAACTTTCTGTTTCTGGTGTCCTCCTGATTTTATTTGTTAAATTACTAAGCTCCCAGACTTTATTGTCCCACACCGTATCACACCTTTTTTTACACCGAAAAGTTTCAGATGCTTCCTACATTGCTCACATCAATTTGCTCCATGCTCGGAGGTCAGGGCATACAATTCACCAAGTTGACAATTTTGTAAGCATACTCAAATTTTTGTTTCATAAGATTTCTTCTCTGTAGTGTTTCCTCTTTAAAAAGTCAAAGTGTCCGTTACCCTTCTTTTTCAGGGAACCAATCTTATGCCTCTGTCGTCTCAATAATGGAAGTGAATACGTACTGAAAACATTGAAGAATTTCTGAAAATTTTTTGTTCTTATGTGGTGAGTACACGAAGTGTGCACATATTTGATCGTCAGTACCCCTCTTCTTTTGATGCGTTCTCCCGAAATAATCAGTTTGGAAAACTTCAGCTTAGACCTACAGTGTGAAGCAAATCATCGCTTTGGCGTATCGCAGGCTACAGTAGAAACTTCTGCCATAAAAAATCAATGTAGAATGGGCAAACTGACAAACTTCCTGACATCCTGACAAACCTCCTCAAAAAATGTGGAAAATAGTGTGGCAAGGTATTCGTACATGCTTATTTCACTACAAAACTCTTCACAGGTTTATTTTTATTCCTTTCATTGGAGAACAATATGGAATTGGATTTATACGAACTTTACTTTTAGTGGAATTATACGGACTTCGCAATTCATATTATTCTTCACTGCCCCAAGATGCGCTGGTTATTTGCATACGTGTGGTTGAATACCTGAAAGTTGTACAGCAAAGATGAATTTAGAGCTCGCATCGTTTGCTATTAGAGGAATTTGCAGATGTTAGCACCAGATTTAGCTAACAGTAGGATGTCGCGCGCAACGTGGCTTGATGATGTGATCGTACTCATATAAGTAGCTGAGAGTGCACAGTCACAGTTATTCACATGTACGACTCTCGCTCAATTGCTTTAACATTATCTCACGCATGTATTTGTGCCTTCTGCCTTTGCCTTCATATCATTCCTATTTGTAGTTCATCGTTTAATGGTATAATCTGTTATTTGTTCTATCCGTGTTTGTCGTTGTTATTTGTTTTTCTGATAAAGTTTAATTACTCAGGTTTGAGGTTGCTCGTGCTATACGAAATCCCGCGTGGCAATATCTCTGGTTGTAATTCACAAGTGGTATTCGAAGCTTCATAGTTAGTATATCCCAACCACTAATTAATACAATAATCAAGTTTCTGGCGGACGTTTGAAAAAAGTTGTTACGGTGTACCTGGAGAAGCAGCATCACAGTACGGTGCCAGTTTCGATTTCAGAATCGTTGACTTTGGTTAGCTAATGTAAGAATTTTGACTGGTTGGGTGGGTCACAATTGTTTTACAGTAACGCAAGCAATCGCACAAAGGTGGTCAAAAACAGACTTTCAGCCGAAATTTGTTTACGCTTTTCTTGGAAAAGATCGTGGAAATAAATAGGCTTTTGACCCCTAACATCTACATGCCATAAAACTACCTCAATAGCTTTTTAGATTTTTCAGTTTTGTAAATGTATAGCAAAGCTTATCTGCCAACTTGACAAAACTTTTCTTCTCCTACTTAGTTTTCAAATCTTTTGTAAAGTTCTATATGTAACACTCATAGAATTTGTGCATGAACTATAAATAGGATAGATCAACGCTTGCTATTGAAAAGCTTATTTGTCAAAGCTTATGTCTACTGTAGTGTGCAAAAACCGTAGAACTTTCCCGTTTTTACTTCTTCTATCAATTTTTTGCTTCTAAAATAAATTGAACTAAAGCAAGATTGTTTTGATCAAGTAATTTCTATAGTGGATTTGCATTTAGGAGCACTGCACGAGCTTACGTTTCTGATAACACCTTTGTTAGAAAATCAAATAAGTTCTGTAAACTCTCAGCTTCCAATAAAAAACAGTCCCGCCTCTGTTTTCGTTTCCGCCCCTTTCCTCCCTCCGCCTTAGCAACCGCTGGTATATAAGAGTCGCGCAGAGGCGTTACCTTTATTCAAGCCAAGTTTCTTCTAATTGAGCTCCAGAATGAACGCTTCCAATATCTAAAATGTTGGAGGGGGGTGGGGTTAAATTGCTACCGCAATGCTAACTTGGATTTTTTTCTTCTTTCCCAATCTCTCACATATCTTCTTATCTGGCCTGAAATCCATTTAGCCCTGTTTCTAAAGATAAATGTAGTTAGAGTTGTAAATGAGAAAAAGCTGCTGCGTTGTTATACGTAAAATTTCGTGATCCCTTACACAAAAAAGTCATCATAGCCTTCAGTTTATAAAAAAAAATTTCGTTCGTAGACTTGCTTGAAATGGATAGTACGGGTGTGACTAGCCTCGTCATACAACGGCAGCTGTTGATTTGAACTCAGCGTTTTAGACTAATGCTAGAAATAAGTCTTTTTTTCAAATGCGAGACTACTTGTTATAACACCTTGTAAGTAGAAAACCTAATTTAGTTAAGTTTCATTTGAAGGCAAGCTAGTTACTAAAAAGCAGCTTCATTCTCAGTTTTTACAATTTAGAAAAAGAATGCTGAAAGTGATCTCACTTTCAGATCATGTGTTCGAAGGGCATCTCAATCGCCATTGCATTGTTAGTGATTCTGCAGGTAATGCGCGTCAATGTGCTAATTTCTCCATCTAGGTTTGAAGGTCGCTAAACATATGTAGTACGCTAAAATCACAAGATAGTCTTTGACAAAAAATGACATTCACATCTGTTCATTGCGCAGGTCCACGGAACGACTTCCTGCACCTTCATAGATCAGAAAGACGATTTTGTGGCAGATGTCATCTATGCCATGTTGAAGAAAGACAAAGATTGGTGTCTTCTTACCTGTTATGAAGAGGAAAACTGCACGTATGTGGAATATCAAGAGGTTAATAAGGCCATTAGTATCTGTGCGTTTATTCGAAAAATTTCCACAGATGCTGCTTACACTCTGCACATCCCCTGTGCGCTATTTTTGACATGACTTTAGTCCTGGACCTTGAAGGCAGTGCCCCACCGGAATTTGAGACTTGATATTTAGGCGAATTTCAAGCTTTCCGACCTTGTATAACCCTATACGGACTCAAATCCGCGTAGAAATTCTGGAAACTCGATTTCCAAAAACCCCCGAGTTGGCCTGCTCTAGCTTGATTTTGGCCACAAGGTTCAACATGACAAGAAGGACGGCGTCGCGGTTCCCCTAGTGAAATCATAGAAATCCGGTACACTTCAGTTCTGGTGAGGTAATGCCTTTATAAGCGTCAATGACAGTAAACGGATCGTGCCGCAGTGTCATATAGTTTGTTCCTCCACAAGATTCCCATAGGTACCACGTCATCTCGCTGCCTTTCGCTCTTTTGAACGTGTTAACCGCGGGCAGTTTCGCTGGAATCTCAGGAGAAACATGTCAAAAAGAGCGAAAGGCAGCGTCGCACCACGTACGCACGCTGGTTCACATGGGAATTTTCTGGGGCACACAGGATATATGTGTGGGAAATTTTTCAAAAGACAGTTCGTTTGCAGGCAAACACATCGAGTTGATTTTCAACGAGGCACTTTTTTGGATGAGGGATGATTGACGATGAGCATTCAGGGCGTTTGCACTATTTTCAAGGACGGAGAAACTCATCAGGATGGTGGCAACAACATGTACAAGCTTGATTGTCAGCTTACACTACCAGCATGTCCACATTGCTTACCACTTGCGCCAGAAGTGGAATTTCAAACGCTTCCAGTGCCAAAAATTGAACAGAGCAAGACTAGGATGAGGGAACTGCTGGCAAAGGACGCCGTTGCTTTGACTGTCGTACATATCTACGACAAGAATGGTTACATCTTTACAAAGTCCGAAGCAGCTTTTCCTGACGGAACAGCGCCCTTTCACAGGTAACACTTGGTTTTCCTCGCCGTTTTCACTGACGTTACATTCTAAAAGGCGTTTCGCATTCCATACATAACGGATGTCTGGGACAGGCTGTTTGTCGTGTTAATCTCGTGCTATAATGCCTTTCATCTGTTTAGATATGATTCTGTAGAGCATCTTCAAATTAGGTCTACGGTATAAAGCAAATCATCGATCTCTCTTCATTGTTGCAAAATAATTAATAACCTGACCAGTTACTTAAATCATAATGCGCCATTATGAATATGCCATCTAAAACATTTCCAAAAAAATTGGGGAAGTGTAGTAGAGTTTTACGCATGTCAATTTCAGCACGCGACTTTTCGGGTTTTAAGCTCTGTAAATGGTGGAATCAGTTTTGAGGAACGCTGAAATCACTTGCTACGGTGGACTTGGCTTGACTTGTAATACAAGATTTACTCAAATAGTTTCAAATGCTTACATAAAAATAACTTTATACTATATGAACACGAGTTTTACGAGTTTTTCAATTGATTTTTTTAACTTACAAGGAAACCGTGTCAAGTCGAAGTGGCCTTTCCAGATGGGACCCATACTGCTTCAAAGGGTATTAGACGGTGTGCCTTTCAAATCTGCCAAGCGCCTATGGACGCCGAGTTATGACCGTTCTTCGGAACGAAAAATGAATGCAGAATTTAGGTAAAATTGATTGTTACAATCTTTCCAGGGCTCAGATAAAGCAATGTTGAGTATTAGCATATTGATTAAAATGTATCTATTGCATAAACAGCTCTGATACTTGATACTGGAGCATTTAAGCAAATTTGGGCGACTTTGCTTCAATTTTGCGTTCAATTTTTTGACCTGAAAAACGAGCATAACTCGGCGTTCAGAGGCGCTTGGCAGATTGGGAAAGCAGATTTGGAATCACCGATTAATGCTTTTCAAAGCAGTATGGGTCTCATCTGGAAAGGCTACTTCGACTCGACACGGTTCCCTTGTTAGTTAATTTTTTTAATTTTTTGAATTACGATAAAATCAAAAAATTACTACACATTCTACATCAAAATTTACACAAATTATAGTTAATTGATATAGTATATATCTTATACCAGTCTTTTATCAAGCTATTTCATAGGAAATCAATACCACATGTCATTAATCAGTATAGTTATTCCAATATCAGCGCGTCACCTCTGCTTTGCAGAGGTTCGCACTGGCTCTACTATCTATGTGCCTTACTCATTCTCGTGAAATCGTGGCAGTGGAACTCACCGCGCTACGCCGACTACCACGAATAAAATGTAAACAATCACTCATTTAGAAAGTCTTTTCACGTAAAATCGGTGATTTCGCGTAGATGAAATTCGCAGAAAGACAAACGCAAATTTGAATAGGTTTTTGGATTTGTCATGGCTTGGTAGTCGCCATAAAGGTAATAGTAACCGTGAGGTACATCTCTGTGCGAAAATCTTCTCAAACGCTTAGCTAGAATCTTGGCAAATTGACCATTTACACAACCAATTCGTTTTGGAGCCGTTTTCGTTATGTAGTAAAATTTCGACCACTTTTCTGGCTAAACTCCATCGCTTGCACATTTGCTTACCAAACTCATCCACGACTCTGCAAAAAGTGGTGATACGGACCGAATTTTGCGGTACAGAAGCCAGGTGGATCCGTTTGACGCGCAATATCTGAGGGATCCACTCAACCAATCTACTCGTGTTTTTGCATGTTGGACTTTCATGAAGGTAGCATGCGCTATACAAAATTTGAGCTTAGAATGCTGGCTGGAACACACTCCACGAATTTCGTAACAGACACACACACAGACAAAGTCACGTAAACATCCTTAGCCCGTTATTATAAGTCATGATACACTCATGATACATCTACTACAAACAACCAATATAGTAAAGTAGTCTATCAGAATGATTGATATCATAATAAATAAATTCAACTACGAAAATACCAACTTTTTCATTTTATCCTTTAGTTTCCAATATGGTCGCTATCATAGTTTATCATGACTTATAATAAGCCGCTTATTTGTCGGTCTGTAAGTCTGTCTGTTACGAAATTACAGTGAGGAAGATTTACGATACTAAACATCATGTGAGATTAAGATAACGAGTATGGTTCATTTTTAACTACGGGTCTCATGTTGCAGTCAACCGAATAACGATCGAATAACGGTTGGAAGGACAAGCTCTCAGAGAGTGAGTTCACCCACGGTTCATCATGGCCAGTGCGAACCTCTGCGAAGCAGAGGTGAAGCACTGGTTGTATATAATCAACATAATCGACATATATAATATATCATCTATTATTAATGTATTGTATATACAATAAAAGACGGAGTATAGGAACTGTAAGTTGTTGAATTTCAACTATTACAACAGCATTCAGAAATTTTATCTTAAAACTATTTTGAAATGTACACAGGACTTATGAACTCTCCTTCCTTACTGAAAAGTTCCGGGGAGAGCTCTGAGCTCCTTTACTCCGTCTAAGGGAAGGAACGAAACGGAGTATTCAAAGAAAAAATTTCTCTCTTATTACAGATTTCAGCGACCCCGATAAGTTTAGCGCAAGACTCCTTAGCTTGTTAGGTAATTTTCGAAGTACAACACGGTCTTCAATGGCTCAAAACCCTCTTCACAATTCCTAGCGTACCCCTGCGGTAACGAAAAGCAATCGTTGATTCGTTTCATTCTGTGTATCTAAGTTGAATCCAGATTCTACAGAATAATCTACAAATTGGAGAAAGGCAGTGGAGCAAGAGAGCTATCAACGCATACTCTCGATGCATAGGTCCATATAACAAAATCTTTCTCATTGTCAGAAATCACGAAAGACATCGGAGGAAACCCTTGCTAAACTCATGATCAGGGTAAGGCCCCGGTCAGACTTCACGCGACTTAATCGTCGCGATCTAATCGCCAAGATTTCCATTCATTTTCATTTCACGTTCAAAACTTTCGGTCTGGAAAAGTATCACAACCGAATGCAAGTTGATCGGAATGAAATGATGTTGTAACAGTTGTCTCGTCGCGATTCAGTCGCGACGATCAAATCGCGTGAAGTCTGGCCGGGGCCTAAAGCGGGGGGTGCGGCACACGACCGTCGGATACGACCCCCCCCCCCTTGGGCCGGATCTCGGCACGACCCCCCCCCCCCTCTCGCTCTTGAAGGCACCGTCCACCCAGAATTTCGACCTCCATGTTTTTGCCGTTCCAGGGCCTTCTCATACCCCTGATTGCGAATATCAAGTTGAAAATCCACAAAAACCACGAGAACCCCCTGTTTCCAGAACCCGCAGAGCGATATCTTCGGTACGTGATTGGTTGGGCGCGCACGGATGGGCGGGACGAACGTCACGCCCACTCCGAAAGGGGAGGAACCAGCGTCGCGAACGGGGCCAGAAGGATTTCCGAAGCAGTTTTTTCGGTTCGGAAGCTACTTCAGGCAGCGCAAGTTGGGCAATCATTTATAATAGTTGGGGCCCTGCATCTGCTAGGTATCATAGTCTCACCAACCCCAATTTGGGTGGACGATGCCTTTGCCTTTCACAGCTTCAACTCACATTCAGTATATTTTTATTTCAACAAATGCCGGAGAGAACTTACACTAGAGATTTCTTATTAAGATTATTAGCACACCATTTCAACGAATTTGTTCTACTTCTTCTCAGAACGATTGTCGACAAAAGCAACTCCTGATCCTCCGTTGGCAAAACGGCGTCGTCCACCAGGTGAAGCAGGAAGACTGCAACGGAGTCATTGAGAGAACTACATATTATAAGCACTGCAGATATTAGAAACATACCTCTGAATGGGACACGTCGAGTCCTCGACGGCTTGCGTAGATCCGTCAGAAATCAAAGGCGAAGATTCCATGGGAGCTGTAGGCTCGGCTTCCAGATTCTGCAATGTAACCCGCTAACTTCAAACCCCATCGATCGGCTGAGGAGTACGTCGTGATAACTTACACCAACACTGAGAGAACGCATGCGTACCATGGGTTGTGCTATTGCGTATGACTTTTTGTTATTGAAAAAACATCCCGGCTGTCACCAGCAGCCTCCATTCGCTTTGCCAAGCCTATTCTTACCTAGAAGCAAAATAACAGGATAATTGTGCTTCTAAATGTCTCAGATGAATATATTACAGTTGCAGGCAGGTTAGTGAAGCTCGGCCACTACAACATCACCGAATCTTTCCTCATCTCAGACTCCTTTCTCACGGTGCACTCCTCGGATGGAGATTTTGTGGCGGCGCCCCTGTCGAATTCGCTTCGGCAACACTTTGATGAATCTCAAAGTTGCGAAACATACTTGAACGTGGGCTGCACAGTGATTTTCCAAAGCTGGTGCGCGATATCGTGCGTAACAAGACCTCCAGCGTTCACATTTATGAATGAAAATATGATTCATATAGGGCACCATACTTGATCCACTTGATACGCTTGATCCACTTCATCCACATTCACTATTGGAAATCTATAAAGTGACCAATGGCAAAGCGGATGCCCGCTTGATCCAATTCATCCACTTCGCTATTGGTCAGATCAGCAAACTGACCATTAACGAAGTGGATTGAATTGATCAAGTGGATCAGCGGATCAAGTATGGCGCATTCCTAACAAGCATAAAAGTCACGTAAATGGATGGCGACATCCACTACACGGTAAACAGTGACCTGACTTAGGAAATTTGCCTGAGAGGTACTTGAGAACTTTGTGCACAAAATAATCCACGAGCGCTCTACTGGCGACTGGAGTTGGATGTACACCATGCTCAGTAGCAGAGTTCGAAAAAGCACGTCTTGTGTCTGAAGTAAGATTATGAGATGAGAACTTTTCTGAATCGAAAATTCACCGGAGTTGTCAGCAATTAGCCCGCGATAGATTGGTAGAAACAATGCGACTGTATAGGCCGTCCGCGCAGGGCGCGGAGAGTGCGCAAGGTGTGTATTGCGCGTCACTCCTCTTTCCTCGTGCACTCTCGCCGTCTGTTTTTCTCTGCGCTTCTTCCAGTCGTGAACTGCCTTCAGTCTACGCAACAGCGTTGCTCTCCGTGCGCAGCGCGGACGGCCTATACCTTATTGCTGAGAATGTAAATGCAATGACAATGAAAACTATCCAGAACCAGAAGAAGGTGTAGATCTTCTAGTTGATGAAGTTGAGTATTAGTACGCACTGCATATGTTCTTGATGCAGATTTGCCAAGGCCTCCAATATACATCATAATGATAACGACCAACCGGCAAATAGGCCAGCGGGTAGACCAAAAATGTGCGTAGATTTTGCTGTGATTCAACCGCCGGAGAGAACTTACAATCTTCGACTATGCATCAAATTATATTTGTATGAGATTCTGCTTCAAGACAAGAAACCGGCTAATTTGCGTACATTTTAACCTTCCTGAAATGTGCGCAACATGCAGCTTTTGGTCCTACCAACAATCCAACTGTTTCTAGGACTACGCTATAGCGCAATTACGAAAAGAAATTGCAGGTTCAAATGATGAATCGGTGCATAGAGAAAGAATGGATGCTAGAAACTAACCGCTCACGCTGCTGAAGTATTTATCGCCTTCTTTTGGCTCCACACGTGGAAAAACTTTGTCGACACTTTCTTTGGCAAAGCGTTGGCACCAGTGCTCGATGTACCTGTAAAACACCCAAGCTGAAACACTTGAAACAAAAAAAACTAAACTATTTTCACCTCTTAGGGTCGACAATGAGGCCCATCTCCGACACAACAATCTTGTGCTCTTTCAAAAGATGCCTGGAACGAGTTTGTCGTAATGAAAACCAATGACGATGAGCAGCAATGCACGTACTCTTCAAAGTGCTCCATTTGCTCGGGCAAATCAAAGAACCAAGCAGCTCAGGCACATGGTTGGACCACCCCATTTTGGAGAGTAGCCGACAACTGGCACGGTACCAGACAAAGTTCTAAAAATACAGATGCCGAGCAGAAAATGAAAAACGTGAAAAAATAAAACTTTTCAAAAAACAAGATCAAACGAAACTAGTGGATGAAGCGAATAAAGTCTGACGTAAATGATGGCTTCGGTGAATTCGCGAACGAGTGTCGAAAACAGGCACACAAATAGGAAATGCAGAAAGCAGAAACAAAACAAGCAAAAAGAACAATCAAAATGAACAGGAAATTGATGTGAGGTGTTGCAGACGAGTGGATTTTGAAATGCGCATTTCAAACTGTCCTGGCTCCCGCCCTTGGTGTGATGACAATTTTTTCGGCTCCTACCGTACACCAATATTTTCGGAGCCGTGCTTCAGCGAGTAGGGGTTAGATAACCCGCTGTATCTTTTCAAAGAGGAGGCGCTTTGGGGGGCAAATCTACTACGAAGAGGGGAAGGATGGCTCAATAGAATAGTATAAAAAAGGGTTATCTAACCCCTACTCGCTGAAGCGTTTGAGCCTTTTGAAGGTAAGTTAATGAGGTGCGGCACCCCCCCCCCCCTTAAAAGCTGCGGCAGCCGCAGCTTTCAAGGGGGGGGGGGGTGCCGCACCCCATTGACTATATCAAAAAGAAATTTTTAGTAAACATTATTTATATGAATCGAGAGCCTAAACCTCGTAGATTTCATAGGAGTGATTTGAGTCTGATTCGTCTTCTTAGCCCTGAGTAATACAGGGTGTCCCAAAAAAATGTTTCGAACGTTTGATCGTTAATATCTCTCTTCCCAAGAAGTCTTTTGCCTTGCTTCAGGTACCGTTTTGTAGAGCTGGCTTCAGCTTAGATTTGCATTAGAGAACAAATCACCCAACTCTTTTCATTACTGTAGTATTACGGTAGAAACTTGAAACATGTGGTGTCAATGTGGAAAAAAAGCTGCCGTTTCAAAATTTTTCAAATATTTGTGAAAACTTGTGTGATAGGGTTTTTATGGACGCTGAGTTCAATACTCAACTGTTCACAAGGTTACGAAGTTTTCTAAACGGTGTAATCGCACTTTTTAGGAACATTGAAAAAATGGCCGCTACCTCTTACCTGGCATAACTCTTCAATGAAACATCATAATAAGTCGGAAACTTTACAGTTATAATCAGCAACTCTAATTAGCCTAGTGTAGAAGCTTTCAGGCTGTTTTGTTTCTTTTTTGAGGCGAAATATGGCCTTTCATTGCTTAAAACCCTCTTTCAAGTTTCTACCGTAATCCTACAGTAATGAAGAGAGATGGGTGATTCGTTCTATAATGCAAATCTAAGTTGAAGCCAGCTCTACAAAACGGTCTCTGAAGCAAGGCAAAAGACTTCTTGGGAAGAGAGATATTAACGATCAAACGTTCGAAACATTTTTTTGGGACACCCTGTATTTAGGGAAAGCGCAAGCACTGAAATTCGTAGGTGGGATTTGGCAAACTTCTGATTCCACAGCATGGAGGTTTCTTGAAGTGGGATTTCTCATGCAAGGAAGGGAGGGGTAGTGCTTTGTATTGAGTGCAAGAAGAGGTATCTTACTCACCTTTAAAATGGAGTTAATCATGTTTGAAATTACTGTTGCATACAAGTTAGTTTACTACTCGGAGACCTCAGAGTTCGCTGAAACTTGGCGCATAGGGGTTATTCGACACGTTGATTACGATAATTATACTTGATTAGCGGTACGGTAGGTTACGGTAGGCATACGGTATCTGCGAGTTTGTGTCATTGAACTTGAATTTTGCAGGACTTCAATAGCGTCTAATAAATTTAGTTACAGTGCTTTTCCGCTTGAAAACCGCTTTTGACCTTGGGTCGATATGGGAGACGGTCAAGAGGCGCGATTTCTCTGGCTGTCACCAACTCAAAACTCAAGTTTAAGGCTACGCAATTCTTCAAAAAGCACCAGACAAAATACATTGGCTTACTAGTTATCTAAAGTTACCACTTGCTGAGTTTGAAGGCTTTCGCTAAAAATCCGACCAAAATAAACACAAATCTGTTATTAATTGCATTTTCATGAATTTTTGCCTTTCAACATTTTTATTTTGAATCGCTTTTGAAACAGTAAGACTCGTCCAACCATCTAATATATCTGCCTTAAAATCTAAAATACTCCCGGAACCTTATAAAACACTAAATATGTGCTATTTGCTGTCCAGCCGATAAAAATCGCGCCTCTTGACATACACCCGGTCGATACGACCCCCCCTTACCTACCCCACCCCCCCCCCCTCCTTACGACCCCCGGTGCGGCGTGCCGCACCCCCCACTTTACCCAAGATTAATCGCAAGCTTGTGAATGAAGCAACACAGGGTGTCCCAAAAGTAAGTACACTTTTTTGACCGCTAATAACTTTTTACTGACTCTTTTCTTTAGCTTCAAGTACCATTTAGTAGAGGAGGCTTCAACTTAGAATTACAGCATTGAGCGAATCACCCATCGCACTTCATTACTGTAAGATTACGATAGGAATTTTAAGACAGTTTTGAGATATTACTGATTACATATTGCCTCAGAATAGATACCGAAATGGCCGAAAACTCTTTCATTAGGCTAGACTGATTCGCTGATTTTTAATATAAAATTTGCACTTTACCGTAAGGCTTTTTCCATGAATCATGCCAAGTAAACCGCCACGACGTTTTTTTTTTTGCAGTGCTGTTCAGAAAATGTTAATTGGACCATTTGAGATTCTTGAAAACTCATAAATAGTTGTCTGATAAAGTCATCATGTTTGAAAACATTGCTTCACAGCTTCAAAGTTCCAAAATTTTTTTGGAACTTTTGGCTTAAACGGTCCATTTCACAATGCTGCTGTGTGCTAGAAGTTTCTACCGTAATCCTACAGCAACGAAGGGTGTTGGGTGATTCGCTCGATACTGTAGACTTGAGTTGAAGCCTCCTCTAATGCACGGTACTCAAAGCTAACGATAAGAACCTAGTGAAAAGAGAGTTGTTAACGATCAAACAGTGTCTACTTACCTTTGGGACACCTTGTATAGTATATATTATCCTAATTTCACGCGTATAAGGCGCGCGGGATTTTCTTCCAACATCGACCA